GAGAATAACGAAATAAAATCAATTCATATTATTCCGCTTCAATGTTCGTTCTTGCTCTGCTTAGGATAATCTAACGGGACTATGTGTATGACATTAATGCATACTATTAAAGAACCAGCACACCTAAAAACGCTTTACTTCAAATAAAGAAAAATATCCCGTTTGTATCAACATAGAATTGCGTCTACAAATTAAGATGTGTCGATTATAACACCTTCTATATTAGGAAGTCATTTCTTGAAATACTGAATCAAACCAAAGAACATCTTAAATACACGAAAACAACTGACTATCCTGTGGTACTATAGAGACTCTGAATTACTTTGGAGATATCGGTACGTGCCACTTTCAATAACCATCAAATCGATATTAAAAATATAAAAATATTACAAAAAGACTTGTCCAGCTACAAAGAAAGGTGAGTTGCTAAATCCTACTACTCTCAATAGAAAAAAGCCTTATTATTAATCCGATTTAGACCATAACTGATTCTATCCCCCATCTCACACCATTATCATACAAATATAATACTATCATTTCACATTACAAATGTCACATTTTTCATACATTAACATAAACGCAAATACTCAAGCATTTATCACATAGATCACCTTGACCGAAATGTCATAATATCAAATTAATCATTCTTGTCTTGTTAATTGATCATTATAATTATTTTCACTTTGTTCCTTAATGTTATTTGAACTTGAGTGAAATTAATTTGTTTATTTGTTGTGTGAAGAGGTGGCTTACACGGGGTCATGAAACATCGGTATATTTAACTTTTCTACTAATTGAGATATTAAAAATATTTTGCTTTTATTAATTTTGGATTCAACTTTCTAGATGCTTGATTATTTGCATAAACTGTACTTAACCGTAGAATCCACTTATATAAAATTTCTTCCTGTAGCTTTCATATAACTAAAGTGTTACGCCCTTGATTTTTTAGCTCACGGGTCTGTGATAATTATGCTAGAAAGGAGAGTTGCCTCAATCCAGTTTATGATCTTGAAGTGATAGGTAACTTAGAGAGAAGTTTGCAAAGAAAGAGTTATTACGAAATTAGGTGCATCGACTCAGGTTCAATAGTGCTTGTTGGATGTATCGTTTACCAGTTCCGGGACATTTGACTGTAGCGCTAATACGAGATATGGAATCGGCATCAATGAGAACTAGGATCGTGACTGGTTACTTGAGAAGTGATATTGTTCAGTGGTCTTCGTGATTTGTGAAAAGTGACAGTAGTTGATGTTTAGGACTGCAAACGATCAGTGTCTTATTAGTATATGTGCATCGTGTATGGATGAATTTAAACTTCACCCCATTGCACAACTTAGTGGCTCTCAGGTTTGAGTAGCTAAGTGGATAAGAAAATTGCGTTTGAAGCCAGTGGTACTGTGTTCCAGTCCTGTAGTGAACGTCAACTCTGGGATGCAGGTGCATCCAATTGACGAGTCGAAAGTCGGACGAAACGCGCATCCTGGATTCCACTGGTAGCTACCATCCATTTTTCCTAAGAATTTGAAGATAAATTTTGTCAAGGTGATAAAACATTCACATGATTAATTACCGATATTAACTAGTTTATTGTAAAATCCATAACGAAGCAATCAAATAAGAAATAATATATGAAATGATAATTATATCAAACAATCAGTTTGTCAAAAGGAGTAATTTTCCAAAAATTTTATTCTTCAATTCTAATGTTTAGTAGTAGAATAAAAAGATATTTTGCCTACATTAGGTTCCTTTTGGATAAGGTTTCTGTAATAAAGAACACAAAGTTAATCATGACTGGACTTGTTAATGCATTAACTTAACGACTTTGATTTTCAATGAAATATTCATATTCAGTCAATGATGTTTACAAAATTATTCCTTCATTCATTTGAAACTAGAAGTTTTAATAAGCAATGATGGATGGTGGCTAGCAGTGGAATCCAGGACGCGCGTTTCGTCTTATTTGGGACTCGTCAGCTGGATGTGCCTGCATCTCAGAATTGACGTTCACTCCGGGACTCGAGCCCAGTACCATTCACTCCAAACGCCATCGCGTTATCCACTTAGCTACTGAGTTCTGATAGCCACTTGCTTGTGCAATGGGGTGAATTTAAATCCACTTGGTATTGTTTGGCTTGTATCAGTCTTCAGTCAGTCTTCATTCTTCAGTAATAAGAATAGTAGGTTCATGAACCTGTATTAATGCTGACGCACTGCCTTCCAGTGAAGGTCCAGCTTCTCCTTGAAAGTATTCACTGATGGGTCTGATACCACTTGTTCGGGTAAGGCGTTCCAATCATTGATTACTCGATGAGAAAAACGGGACCCCACTTTAAGTTTATTAGAACGTTGTTTATGAACCTTCTTGCTATGACCTCGGAGATTATTAGTGCTGGGGGGGGGGCAAAAAGATAAGACATATTTACACTCAAATCATAATTAAAGATACGAAATGCCAGTATAAAGTCACCTCGTGTCCTACGATACGACAAGGGGAAAAGATTGAGGCGTTTTAAACGCTCATCGTAAGGGAGTCTAGAAAGACCCTTCACTAATTTCGTTCCCACACGCTGGACACGCTCAAGTGAGTTAGTATCCCTAACCAGACACGGGCTAGCTGCTTGGATACAGTACTCTAAATGTGGTCTAACATATATGGGATATAAAATTCGAAACGTTTCCTCGTCAAAAGATTTGAACGCTCGGCGAAGTGACCATAACGCACGAAAACCTTTGACAGCGGCTGCTTTGCAATGCGTAGTTGTTTTTAAATCATGACTTAATATTACTCCTAAGTCTTTATGCTCTTGAACGCATGGAAGAGGTTTACCCTCAATAGTGTAACGGTAACTATTACAGTGACCGATGTGCATTAGCACACTCTTCCTAGCATTGATTTCTAAGCCCCACTCTCGAGCCCATCTAACTAAATCGTCTAAGTCAGCTTGAAGATCCAGATGATCAGCCGCACTTTTTATTGTTCTCCAGATTTTTACATCATCCGCAAACAATAATGTCGACGACCTAAGTAACAGCGGTAACTCATTAACGTAGAGAAGGAAGAGCAGGGGGCCTAAGATGGTGCCTTGGGGTACACCACTTTTGACCGGCTCCCAATCGGATAGCGTTCCGTTAACCCTCACTTTTTGTCTGCGGTCACATAAGAAATTTCCTATCCACGCATGTACAGTACTTATTATTCCGAAGCTCGTGAGCTTCTGCATAAGACCTAAGTGTGAAACCTTGTCAAACGCTTTGCTAAAATCTATGAATATCACGTCGACAGACAGACCGTTATCTAGGACTGCTGTCCAATCTTCCCTCGCAATAAGCAAGTTAGTCAAGCATGAACGCTTGTTACGAAATCCGTGTTGCTCAGGAGCTAACAGATTGTGTAAATCTATGTGGCTTAGCAACCTAACCCGAATTATCTTTTCAAGTAACTTAACGACTATACTAGTTAGACTAACAGGCCGGTAGTTAGATACTATATGTCTCTGACCGGTCTTGAAATAATGTCCGCAAGAGATGACAGCAACTGTGGATGTAACCCGTCAGGGCCCGGTATCTTACCAGGTTTGAGGTTAGTTAGCAACGGAAGGACAGTTTCCTCAGTCACCTGTACAGATTCCATGGTTGGTATCTCTGTGTGAGTGGGACAAGTATTTGTTACAATAAACGTGGAGAAGACTTCGCTAAAATAGTTTGAAAAAGTCTCAGCTTTTGTTCGATCTGATTCAGCTAGTGATTCTGAATTTTCGTGTAACAGTAACGGGGGAATACCATCACTACGTTTCGTCCGTCGTTTAACATACGAAAACAATCGTTTCGGACAAATACGGCTATCATATACTAACTGTCGTTCGTAAGTGCTACGAGATTTGGCTATGGTTTTCTTACAGATATTACGGAATTTTCGGTACTCACGCTTAAATGGTTCATGACCTGTCAACAAGAACAAGTCCCAGAAATGTTTCCTACGCTTTAACAGCTTCCGGGTTTCCTTATTAATCCATGGAGGGCAATGTGATAGCTTACGTGCTGACCATGGGATATACGGCAACGTTACGAACTCGAATGTAGCCTTAAACTTATTCCATTCATCTTCGATCAGTCCATCCTCGTCGACCAACCAATCAGTCAAGATAGCACAGTTTCTGATCGCCGGAATATTGGCTCACCAGATATTGGGACGGGGTGGAGCAGATACGAATTATATACCATGTGTCCTAAACTTAAAGTGAATTACAACGTGATCACTGTTCACTAGTGGGGGAAGGTGCTGACTATTTTTTATTATTTTTTTTATTTTTATTATTAGAAGCTTTATTCAACATTATATTTTTCTTCGTACAACATAGAATTCTCAGCATAAAGTATTTCAAACAAGTTTCCTGTTCTTATACCTTGATCGATTGTGACGATAAATTTTGAATGATGACCAGTTAGATGTTAGAAGTTCTGTAATCCACATTTGATTACCGTTCATTTGTTTCAATGCATAATCATTAAATTACTACATGTAATCCATTGTTTGATTGAGTAGATACTACTTATTTTGTTAAACTAGTAATAACTTAATATTCTACAATCACATATATAACATCATATGTAACATTAATGAAGTATTTATTTCAACCCATATTATTACAAAACTACAATTCTGAAATGTTAGCCTCTTTATTATGCTAATTATTATAATTAACATTTTAATTGTAATGAATACAAAACAAACTTAGACTAATGAGATGTCATTTACAGAACACTTGAATTTGTAATATAGTAAGCTTATTAAAAAAAAAAAAGAAGAAAACAAGCTGACATTATATCATTGGTGAAATAATAACTAAATTTTATACGATTTATTTTTCATTTAATTAGCCAATAGTTTGGTTGTTGTTGCTGTTTTTATTTGTCACTAAGTTTATCATTATCAACGTTTACTGATTATCAATAGTATAAAAGCGGATAATCACAATGATTAGTTTCATTAAATAATGTTTCATTCATTATTATTTGATATCATTGTGTTACATTTGATCATGCTTGTTTCAATACAAGTTGGTAAGTTTTATAATACATTTAAATGATATTTACATAATTATACTATTTATAACTTACTTACTTACTTACGCCTGTTACTCCTAATGGAGCATAGGCCGCTGACCATCATTCTCCAACCCACTCTGTCCTGGGCTTTCTTTTCTAGTTCTGTTCAATTCTTGTTTATTTTACTCATGTCTGTCTCCATTTCACGGAGTGATGTGTTCTTTGGTCTTCCTCTTTTCCTTTGGCCTTTAGGATTCCATGTGAGGGCTTGTCTTGTGACGCAGTTGGGTACTTTCCTTAATGTGTGTCCTATCCAATTCCAGAGTTTCTTCCTGATTTCTTCCTCCGCTGGAATATGGATACTATTTATAAGGTGTATAATTAATATGTTTTGTCGATTGAATGATACATGTTATGAGAAGATGGAGTTGATCATATCAACTCCATCTTCTTATTGTTCTATCGAAATTTATGAAAGGGACTAATTGCTTTAGATACTTGTTCTATCTGATCGTTGTTGATTGTTGTGTCAGTGCTAAATGATGCCATGTTTTAGTAATTATTTATTTTCTGATCAAATTTCACTTATAGTAAATAGTTTATCTAAAGATTAGAATGCTGAATTTTAGTCTACTCATTTAACCGATAGAATAGAAACTATGTTTTCAGTCAATAGATTCGTGTTAATGGATAACGGGTGAAAATGTTTGAGTTTTATAAAGGCGAAACTCATTCCTTGTTTATGAAGTTGTTTAATGTTTCTTTTGAATCAAATTGAGTAGATATACAAATAGTTAATGTTTTTTTTTAAAGTCAAAAAATGATTCTTGTCAAGAGTAAATGGTTTATTTTGAAATGAAATTGAATTTATCATTGTGATGATTAATTTTGGATATATATATGTATATATTGATGAACGTATTGATGTATGGAAAATAACAGGTGGATATTAGTGAAGAGCATATGAACACAACTCCGCCTGTAGCTCTTCTAGAGTTACTGGCGGTCCCAACCCCAGATAAAAAGGGAGGGTTACACATGGGGTCAATAACAGCATCCCATAGAAGAATTCTTGCTAAAAAAAACGCTAACCAGATTAAGCAAATTAAACTTTATGAACACGGTTAATAGTATTGAATACTTGGTAGTATTAGTACAACTTACATGTAACTATTTTTATAGTTTATTCCATGAACCTGAAATTTCTCAATATACTACTTGATTAACATTATTTAAACCTGGGTTCTTCGTTTAAATCTCATAGAAAGTAAGATGAAAGTAAAGAATAGCTATTTAAAATATAACCATATACTCGAATTCAAATATTCATATTTTCAAATAAACTTATTTATGTTCAATTTATAGATGGTAAAAGACAGAAGCTACATAGTTTCGGAAATCCAGAGGTCATTTTATCAAATCTAAAAGGTAATTAGATAATAGACTGATAGATGTGTTTAAACTTTATGTGGTCCCTGAGAGTGAATAGAATAAGATATATCAACAAAATCGTCATCACTAATACATAAAATTACATGATTAATGCACTTTTGAATCTGAATAGTGATAAAATGATTTTGTTCGTTTATTGACAGGTTATTAATAAATGTATTCTGAACAAATATATAACTATACCACTTAATCAATGAATTATGATTCTATAACTATCCCAATCATACCGTTTAGTCTTCATGTTTGATAACACTCTTAAATCAGCTGACTTATCGCTCTAAAGATTTGATTTGTATTCGACATGCAAACAGTCAAGCTGAATAAGTATATTGATGTGACGTTGTGGAGACAACTAAACGTGGAACGATACGTTAATCAAAATTCCTGACATTCAAAAACATTATGGAATGTATAGAACAATGTAAATAAAGATAGAACAACTATTTTGTTATAATAAATATACATATATAGATTAGATAAATAGATTAGAACAAATGAATATCCTAAGCCGATCACTTAACTGATATCATTTTAACATATACTCCACAAATATGTTTTTTATGTCAAATGAAATGGGCTTAAAAGTAACTATCTAAACTGATACATTTTAATTAGAAGTAATTGATCAAGCTTTTAAAATGAACTAATATTTAATTTGCAGTTAACTTAGGCGAATTCGCATTGAGTCTACATCATGCAGATTATCAAGTACAGGAAGAAATGGGTAATTTATTCATAAATTCATATATATAAATGATTTTTACTTGAGAAGCTGATTTCTATTAATAACACTTTAATTTTGTATCAAAAAAATGTACCCATCACAATAAGACACAAAGAATATCAATAGTGTTGTGATTTTGAATCCGGCTAGTTATGACGTGATTTATTCCTCAATTGACTTGTATGAGCAGCCTAGTGTTCTTATTTGTTTTATGTTTTTGTTCGCCTAATCCATCTAATTGAGTCCAGAACGTCAATAACAGCTTCTACTATACGAATCATTTATTTCAAACATATATGGTTTATATACCAGCCAAACAAACCACATTACACCATGAAATAGGAAATAACATTTACACAAGATCAAGTCAAAATGTGGCTGTGAACATGGGAGACAGTAGTTAATCAAATGAGTATAATTTAAGAACAGTAAATCTCAGCATAATAGTCTATGGGTCAAAATGAAGCTTATAATAAGAGGAATATAGATATACATAATCGAATTATTGAACAGTTATACAACAGGAATATATATATATATATATATATATATATATATATATATATATATATATATAATATTAGTTCATCAATAGTTCTCAGAAGTTACTCGTAATGTAATCTTCACTAGGATATAACAAGTAGAATAAACTACGAATTATTGTAGGCAACAAAATGTATCAGCAGATCGGATCTACTAGACAGATAGATTTTAAACAATTAAAAAACCATTCGTTTATTTCTGATAAATAAATCTGAACTATTTCAAGCAGCTATTTAATGATTAGATCATGTCAATTTGATCAGTAGTTAATAGTAATTATTAATAGAATAGAATTGACTGCCAACTATTTATGTTTATCAAGAAAGTTTATTTCGGAAGTGGGTTTTTTTCGTCGATATTATATTAATTTTAATAGTTGAGATCATGAGCCATTTGAAGCTAGACCATCATGGAAAACCTAGAAGAAGTGTGTCACTAAATTTCGTGGATTAGTTGAAGTTAGACATTAACACCGTCGGATGCTGACTCAGTGGTCTAGAGATTAAACGTCCTCTTGCGAGATCGATAGATCCTGTATTTGAATCTCACGTAACGGAATCATGAATGCGCACTGCTGAAGAGTCTCACAATAGGACGAGATGGCCATCCAGTACTTTCAGGTTTTTCATAATGGTCTAGCTACAATTGATTCATGATTTCAGTTTATTTGATAATATAAAAATAAACTTAAGTTATCCTGAATTCATTATGAAATAACACTGGTATTATATATTTATCGGTTATAATATACTTTATATTATATTAAATTTTAGATAGACTTCTCCGAATATATTCAATTGATGAAGAAGTATTCACTAAATGTATGTGAAAATACAATAAATACTCTAATATTAATGATGAATTTTAGATATTAAATGCTTTGATTTATCAGCACATTTACTTTATAAAACTAATTTTGGACAAGGTACAAAAATGTTTTCAAAATGTTGTTTTATCTTTAATTAAAAATAAGTGTACTACATTTTATCTATATTTCTATATAAATTCATTGTATACCTATCTTATAAGATAGTTTAACATTACCAAATTCATTTTATGACCTAATACTATGAAGCATTATTGTCTGAGTTTTTGATTAAGATCATGAATCGATGAATGTTAGACTATTATTGAAAACCTGAAAATACTGGATGACTATTTGTTCCTAGTATGAATGTGAATCCACAATCGTGCACATGAGAAGATAGTCGTGCAACATCATGGATTGACTTGAAGTTAGACATGAACATGGTCTGGAGGTTAAGCGTCTTCATGAGAGACCGAAGATCGTGAGTTCGAATCCTACATGCGGGATTGCAGTTAATTAGTACTGAGTCGTCCCATACTAGGACGAAACAGTCGTTCATTGCTTTCACATTTTCAATGTTAGTTTAACATTCATCGATTCATGATCACAATAAAAAAAACACAACAATCTCCACAACCTAATACTAATTTGTATGTTATATTCCATGAGGTTATAATCTGTAATAAACTTTACTTAATTAATATTATATACAAGTATATTAAATTGGCAAGTCTCAAATGACTAGATAAACATAATCTAAGTATCAATTACGTAGAATTTATGATTCTATAAGTGAATTTTTTGTTTGTGTGAAATTGTATTACTATTTTCAATTAAAATATTTTAGGTTTGGATAAATTAGTTGATTCAGTGATGAACAAACGCGGTATGTGTTTCAATTAGCTAATAAATATGTATTATTGAAAGATATACAATTTTTTTTTTGAACAATATTTATAATCTTTATATGCAATGATAGATAATGACTAGCAATAGAATCTAGGATGCGTGTTTCATCCTATTTGGGACTTGTCAATTGAATATACCTGTATCTTAGAGTTAATGTTTACTCTGTGACTTGAACTCAGTACCGTTGACTTCAAATATCATTGTGTTATCCATTTAGCTACTGAGTCCTGATAGCCACTTACTTGTGTAATAGGGATGATACAAGCAAACAAAACCAAGTGAATTTAGTATTTATAAACTATTGAAAATTCATCATTAATTAAACAATTATACAATGTTGAATAAAAAGTTTTTTTTGATTTATATATTTAGTGTATTTAATTGAGAAACAATGTTATTTATATCAATTTTTATGTTGGTTTAAGATGAACAATCTATTTATTCATTGATTATACTCAATATAGAAGCGAAAGTCGCAAAATCTTCAAGTCGCTATAAATGTTTGCAAAAGGAACTAAAAAAAATCAAAAGTAAGAGTAAATATTCAAAACTACATGGTTAAATGTTTTAATTCTATTTATCATTTGATTTTTTTTAAAAAACTTATCAGTATAGGGGTTATGGAGATAAGTAGGTTTTTGATTGAGATCACGAACCGATTAATGTTAGACTACCATTGAAAACCTGGAAATACTTCACGGCCGTTTTGTCCTATTGTGGGACTCCTCGTCAGTGCGTATCCACGATCCTGCCTCGCAGGATTCGAACCCAGAGCCTCCAGTCTCGCCCACGAACGTCTAACCTACTAGACCACTGAGCCGGCATTCAATAGTGTTAATGTCAAACCTCGAACCTGGGTTCAAATCTTGCGAGGCGGGATAGTGGATGCGCATGACTGAGGAGTACCACAATAGGACGAAACGGCCTTCCAGCGCTCCCAGGTTTTTGATGGTGGTCTAACATCAACCGGTTCATGCTCTCAATTAAAAACAAACTTACTAATCTGCATAATCTAATGTTTTCATGTTATTCGAATAACAAGGATTTCAACTTCTTGTTAATCTACCTAACTAAAATATTATATAATTCTTAGACGGCCATTACTAGTGTTAGTTGAATAAACAAATGTCTCGTATATTCTAAGTGTTAAAAGTCATCCTTATTTCGAAATTCGTAATAGTAATTGTATTCAGTTGGAATGGATTGTTAACAGAATCAGAGCCCTCTTGGGAAAGAGGTATTTTATGAAGTGAATTATGTAAACCGATAACTTACATTCGTTATTATTTCATGGTGGCAATAATGATAACAGATAATGTATTTCATTTTCAGTATCTTGTATAACATACAAACCTCTTAGTTTCGATAACTAATGTTGGCGGTGTATTAAACATCGAAATTGTGTGTGTAATCCATCTAGAATAAGCTAATCACATATACTGAATTAATTTAGTGTGATAGTACTAGGAAACTTACACTCGAATATAATCCAATACTGGAATTCGGATGAAAGGTAATTTCCAAATATAATCAGCCGATATTTTTTAAAAGGACGAAAGATCTATACAATAAGTGATTCAATACCATTTTGGTCCAATAACTGATAATTTTGGAAAGAAATGTCTTTATCCAAATAATTTACAATTAAAGAAGGAACGAATTGAGCGAAGAAATTTCTTCGCTCAATTCGTTCCTTCTTTATTTACCAAATGGCAAAATGGGAATTTTCACTATAATTTACAATTATTGACTGCGGGATAGTTATGTTTTTTCGACTAGCCTTAGGTGCAAGACATAACATCATAATGTCTTAAAAGAGCTGACCATTTGTCACTTTCCAAAGCACACACATACTTTTCTTGATTGAATGATAAAATCATTCTCATTTTGTCTTCGTAACAAGATTCATTATTATAAGCAATTACATCTGTGGTTACATTTTATTCTCATTTAAAAATCTTGTGTTTATATTTACATGAATGGTAGTTGAGTTTGAATGTCCGTAATCCATAGCAATCTGTTTTCTAAACAAATTTTGGATAGCTTATGAAAAGCAGCTTACTTTATAAATTTTTGCAATTATATAGAAAAGGCGGTTCAGTACAGCGGAACGCAATGTGAAATCCCTACAGGACTTAATTACAAAGGTAAGCTGAAATGAACCACCCATTTAATTATTATACAAGTGGCGATTGTAGGTGAATATTAAAGCTGTTTTTCAAGAGTCTTTCTTCAAATACTGACTAAACAATACGGCTCAAAGAATCAAACAAAACCGAAATCATTTACATAGTAATTCTAAATAGATAATAATTCACTTCAACAGAAGTTTCATTAAATGAAACCAACATTAAATATTTGTTATGTCTCAAAGAGAGCCGATTGTATGACAGTGACTTATCGATCGGATCAAGGATTCAGAATCTCGATAGACTATTCTGGTCCGTTGTCCCCAACTCTGCTAACTCGATCAAGAAGTCTGGGTAAGGTGTAGAAAGTGTATTCTACAGACAAACAGACAAACATGCGTAAGAAAATCATCATCTTCGTTCATAGTTAGCTTCAAGCAACGATAACGAGTATTAAACAGTGACGAGTTATCGCCAAAATGTTGGATTAATGTTTGAACTGTGTCTGCAAATGATCGGTCACGTGGGTTCAACGGCAAGATCAGATTGCAATACTTGTCCAGCTCATTTGCACCCAGTTTACGAAGTAGCAGCCGCACTTTCCAAGCATCATCTTGATTGGCGAAATCAAATTTAAATAGATCTTCATAACGCCTGAACCACATTTCAAAAGTAACATTAGAATCAGGATCGTAATGAAATTCAGCTATGCTATTTGCGATGCCATCTACTGATGGTGCCGTGGTTGAACTAGACGTGCTTGGCTGTAAGGGAGGCGTAACCTTGGTCTTCATTAACATTTGCATCAATTTTAGCTGCTGCTCAAGTAACAGTTCAAGTTTGGTAGGGTCCATAATCGAAAAACCACCGTCGCCAATTTGTTATGTCTCAAAGTGACAGCCGATTGTATGACAGTGACTTATCGATCGGATCAAGGATTCAGAATCTCGATAGACTATTCTGGTCCGTTGTCCCCAACTCTGCTAACTCGATCAAGAAGTCTGGGTAAGGTGTAGAAAGTGTATTCTACAGACAAACAGCAGATAACAAGTCAGGCAGGCAGATCAGATCAAGCATACAAATCAAGCGTATTTATACAAATATTTACAATCGATATTGTCATGGAAGATTTTTGAACATTAATCAACAATTGACTGCTATTTGAACATTTAATCGATAGTTCATCAATTGACCTATTTGTACATTTAATCGATAGTTCATCAATTGACCTATCTGCACATTTAATCGATAAGTAAATTACAAAATTTGAGTTTTGGGGATCTATCGTCCCCAACAATATTCCAACGAGACTGAGATACTGCTACCGGTCTAATTACGATAGAGCATGACTGGAATGAAATATAACTTTATGAATTAATCTGGATAACTGTATTTTTACTGACCTCGTTATGTAACTAGATTGACTTCAACGGCATGATATTTTTAGAGTCTGATCCGAAATATTTCGAAGATACTTATTCGTCAAACACACATCTTAGCAGACAAATCATATTGAAGTAAGATGAACAAATTGATGAAGCATGAATGTTGGCTAATAACCAAATCACAGAATGAATTCGATACTCAGTTTATATATCTATTCATTGAGTACAATGAATAAATACGAAAGCTTATGTGAGGATACACAAAAATATACGGAAAATGACATTATAAAAAGCACAATCAAGTTAGAGGATTGATAAGGACACATATTACATGGTCACCAAATAAGAGTTATTTGTGATAGGATTTATTTAATATCCCATTTACTCAAAATAATAACAAGTTCACATATGGGCATAATCAAATAATATGCTTGTAATAGTTTGGTATTTCACAAATCATACTGGTAACTTGTTCATAACAATAATGAACTATTATCAGAATTGGTTTTGTGGAGATTTTTAGAAATTTCGCTGGTTGAAATCATGATTCAATTGAAGCTGGACCATCATGGAAAACCTAGAAGCACTGGACGGCCGTTTCGTCCTGGTATGGGACTCCTCAGCAGTGCGCATCCATGATCCCGCACCCGCGGGCTTCGAACCCAGGACCTACTGGCTTCGCCCGCGAGCACTTAACCATTAGATCACTGAGCCGGCATCCAACGATGCGCACTGCTGAGGAGTCCCATACCAGGACGAAACGGCCGTCCAGTGCTTCCAGATTTTCCATGGTGGTCTAGCTTCAAATGACTCATGATTTCAACCAGTGAAATAATGAACTAATTAACTAACAACAATATCATCTAAGTATTTGTGTACAGTTTCGATAGTATACACATATGTACATGATTAGTTTTAATCTGTTTCATGAATTTAGACTTATGAATAAATGATAGATTACAAATGCAAATATGAATACACTCTCAATATTTTCATATGTTTCAGACATGGAAACTTTAATTGAGTTGAGTAGAAATAAATACAGAATTATCAACAGTTACAACGAAAGTTTGTGTAAGTAATAATCAACAAAACTTTATTTGATAAAATAAATATTCTTTATTGAATAATATATTCACTAAACTTAAAACAGTATACGAATGTTTATGCAAATTTCATATTGTAATACTTAATGTACATCTTGGACTAAATGAAATAAAAGAATGTACTATTCACTAATATATTAAGTAACATTGGAGTGACCAATGGAGTTCAGTCGGGTCAGTTGTGATATAGTAATTCACTGATGAAAACGATGGACGTGTCAATCAATTTGGTAGATTAGTTGAAGTTAGACATTAACACCGTTAGATGCCCATCGGCTCAACGGTCTAGTGATTAAGTGCTCATGCGAGAGACCAGTAGGTTCTGGGTTCGAATCCCGCGGGGCGGGATCGTGGATGCGTACTACTGAGAAGTCCCACGATAGGACGATACGGCCGTCCAGTGTTTCCAGGTTTTCCTTGGTGGTCTACTAACTTTAACATAAAAAGGTTTCATAAAGTTAATTGATGAGTTTACATTATTTGTTATACCTTACAATGATTTACTCAGTGTTTATTCGCAAACATTTTAGTTAAATACGGACTTATATTAGACTTTGTCAACAAAGCCAAACCGAGTAAGTTAATTTCATATCGATTTCATATTGACTAATTAAGCATTTATAAAAATGATGAAAAATTCAATGATAGTTTCGAGGAATCTAGGTGTATAAAAAAAAGAATGTAAAATGGTAATTGTACAGCATTAGACTTCAGTGTAAACCAAAGAGATTTAAATTATTGTATTTGGTTTCATCTCGGTTGAGCGATTAAAACTGTAGATAATAGGTTCACATCTTATTATAAGCATCAACAGTGTGAAGTAAATATATTTAAATGACGCGACATAAGAAAACAAAACTCGCTTCCTGGATCTTACTATTAGCCGCAATCTAAACGATAGAATATTCCTTGATAATTATCAGTCGTATAACAGGTATACAAGTGCATTCTTTTGACTTAATTTACAGAAAATAACAAGCATTTCTTAACTGTGATTATTTTGCATGATTTTACTAAAATCCATGATTTTGTTTATTATAGATAATGCATGAAAGTGATCAAAGTCACGTTTTCTTATGATGAGAATTAGTATAAATTCCATAATTTATATCATTCGAAAATCGTTTCAATAAATGGTTTTAATGGAATTTCGTCAATTTCATTTTCCTTGCTGTTAAACTTGATTTACAGTTTTAGTGGCTTTAGGCCTGACTCCAGTTAGATAATGTGAATGATTGTTATTGAAACATACATTTCGCCAATCCTTGCATATAATTATCGACTTAACTGGCGTTAGTGAATAGCGCAATTAAATAAGTCAAATACGAGAATGAATTTCGAATACGTATATTTCATACAATCGTTGATTCAGAAAAACGGTCGGAGGAACTAAGCGAGGAAATCGCAGAGAGGAGAGTGAGGCGAAACAACGGGCAATGGAGAGAGCATGTAAGCCAACTCAATTTAATCAGACAAAAATCAGTTACAGCCAAGTGATGAGCAAGATAAGAAATGCACACACATACGCGTATATAAAAACAGTCGAGGTTATTAACCGACTGATTGACAAGGTCAAAATATGACTCAAGAAAAATGAATAAATTGGTTTGTCCAGAAGCCAGAATAAGCTATATGGGCTTAATATAGCAATCGACAATACATAGTAATTGAAGGCAAGTTACACTGAAAACATTGCATACAAATCAATTTTCGAATTGTTGACGATCTGTCACCATTGAAATCTCACTCCTTAACTCGCTTCAATCCTTAGCCATATTTGTTAGCGTCTCAAGTCATAATAGATTGAAGTTGAAACCGTAAGTCGTGATTCACCAACGGCTATCAGCCATATACTGTTATCCTTAGTGTCACAGAGCCATATCACAAACTCACCATGTTGAGATTTCACTAAGTAACAGAGTCGCCAAGTAATACGCGGTTTGTAATCAGATGTTTGAAAGTGGTGACATCATTCCAACTATCGCCACTCATCCATAACACGCATTGATGCAACTTAGAATTACTAATATGTGAGCGAAACCTCAAAGATAATAATGATCCTACACAGAATTTCGCACAACACCCTCAGTTGTCATGTAGGCTGGCATAACTAACTGTACATTTCACTTTATTAGGGTTTGTGGGGGTAATTAACATAGGCTTATTTTGTAATTAGTCTGTTATCATTCACTTTTTTTAAACTTCCGATTAATAAAAAAAATTCACCACAAAATAAGTCCGTGTTAACTATCCTCATAGGTTCGTCTTATTTACCATGTTACCATCATCGTTCACACAACTATACAGACACACGAATTATTCGACTATTCGAGGAGTTCACTACAAGTACTGAGTGCAAACATGTTTTTCTGTCAGTGTTGCGGAAGAATCCTGAGTTTGTTTTGAGATGAAATATGGTCAATGCTTTTACTACTAGAATGAATACCGTCTAAGTCACCACAACCCAATCTTTCACCAGTTTTTTCGCAACCTAAATAGCATAACGTTGGTAAACAGTTTGAGAATAATCACAAATAGTCTTGTTTAATGATATTTGACCCACAGATGAAATACGATCACAGTAATGATAAGGACGATAATCACAACGTTAAAAGATATCGAACAATGAACGAAATAGAGGACTGAGTAAGTGAAAACCAGAACAACAACAACCAGCTCACAGAGATGAAAGGAATGGGTGAATACCAGGTTACATCTACAAAACGCAAATTTACAAATCAAGCACAATTAAGCAAAGTGTTTCTTTGTTACCTCCTCTTTAGACTCACTGAGTTATACATTAGTCAATATGGCGATACAATAAACAGTATATTAGAAGATATTGATGAAGATTATAACTGAATTATTCAATGTTATAAATCCTCAAAAATAGTGATGTTCATGTCTACTGCCTTGAATGCTGAAAGAATGTGTCCATTGTTGTATTTAAAGTTTAAACATTAAAGAGTAAGTTAAGTAAGCAGTGGAGATCTTTGGTCCATAAAATTAGAGTAATCGATAAACGTGATGATACTGATCAAAATATATCATGGTTTTTGTGGCAAGAATAATAATAACAATCATTAGAATGATAAGTGTCAATTAAGCGCTCATCGGAAGTAGACTGGGATAACGCTAAAATTTGATTATGTTACACGACGAATTAACACGTTCTCTGACGTTGAATGACACTTTGACACTATCAAGATATGTTCTGCGTGTCGTACGATAATATATAACGAAACACAACAGATAACTCTGCAAAATACAGATTTACTCGCGTCATAAACGTTTTAGGATAGCCGAACAGTTCGACATTCGGAATTGGTTTCGACATCCAATATACAAGTGTGAATTTTCGTTCCCGTAACTCACAAAAAAGCATCCAAACGTATGTAAACACAGTCAAGTCCAAGTGAAAATATCCACCACAGCGTAAACACATACATACGAAAGCAAAAACAACAGAAAAATAAAAAGTAGACCGACAGAAGCATATTCCGAAAAGATTTAATCTGAAAACCCATTATTTGTAAGGTAGCTAAACAATTCCTGAAAATGTGTAGTAATATCATACAAGAAAAACATGACGAACTAAAAGTAATCCTACTAAACAATGAAAATTATGTTGGCCATGTCCGCTGCAACTTAATCATCTGATCGTGCTATCTTCAACTGACACAGTCAGTCACGTGAAATTCATTGTGCCTGTTGGTATGATCCAGAAAATTTCTCGCAAAAGACAAGAAAGGATCAGGAAAACATTAAGAAGCATTTTATCCAATCAGTGTTCACTAGAAGTTTAGCCAGAAACATCAAGAAAGTGAAAAGTCACATGTAGAGTTTCTGATTGTTTGATTACTATACTGCTACTATGTTTAGTAGCATTCCAGAATTTTCGGGAAACCCGAGGACTTTAAAGCAATTAGTCCCTTTTATAAATTTCGATAGAACAGTGAGAAGACGGAGTTGATCTGAAAAATGTGATGTATTTGCGCTATACATTTCGAACGATCTGGTAGGAGGTAGAAAACCAAGTTCATCGATAGCGAAACATAATTGAGATGGGGCACAAAATTAACATTAATACAGCATTTAGAACGTTGTATGGAAATTGTCAAGGACGAATTCTTATGTTTATTGAAGCCTTGGCTATTCGTAAATTTAAGCCCCCCTTATGTGTACAAAAACAATTTGTCGTAACCTTGCATTTACATTGGTAATCCTTAAGTCATTCTATGGCCTAGGATAACGCGACAATTTCTTATTATTTCTCTCCCTTTAGTTATTTTAATTGAACTTTATTTGTTTGACCTTTAGTATTTTCATATAAAAATGCCCTGACAAGTATACGTGTGACCAGATGGTTCGAAATGTATAGCGAAACCCAAAGACATCTAAAATATTGTATTAGAATTTACAACGGAAATCAGAACAGACTCACCTGGGTTCAGAGATTGTGTATAATCATCGTGTCGCATGGGTACCGAGGCCACTAATATCTAGGAGTTGAACCATAAACTTTCAGACTATCCTCCCATACGAAATAATGTTGGATCTTCATATTCCAAAGTTATGGATGACGTGGCTTCATTTGAAACATATTCCTCACATTGACTGGAGTAAACATTAGAAGTGACTTTGCGATAACTATAAACAGCAGTTGACATGGAATCAACCGAATTGTAATCAAAATCTAGCTCATTTAGTACCTGTGCTTCTCACTGAGCACGTTTCCCACAAGCAACAAATGCATTATGAGCACAAATAATATTTGATATGACATCAAAATTTGATAATTTCCGAAATGATTTTCATCAAATTTATTAAGAATGTCATTGCAAAGTAAAGGATCATTAGCGAAATCAGCATCTATCAAAACACCATCAGATTTTCGATCATGATTAGGTTCACTCAACATATTTTCCTCACATTTGCAAGGAATTTCATCAGAAATATGTGAATCATTACTAAAGAAACCATATCTGGTACAATAACATGCGAAATCTGATAAGTTGACAGATTAGAAACTGTTGTCTTGCAAGGATTCTGAGTTTCATTTAACTCTGAACTGCTATGTGACTCTACACTGTCTATTGCAATCGTTGATGATGATAAATGATCATTATAAATACTCAACCTAATAGAATCAGAATTACAACACTTAATATTAGTTGCAGCAAGATGAATAGTGGTATTACAAACTGACTCAATATGTCCATGAATCATTTTATGAAATCTTCCTCCTTTACCGCATTCGAAAATTGTATACTTAACATAGTCTAGCAGCAGTTCCTTCAGGGTTGTATAAGAAGGCGAAATGCGTTTTTTCGGTAAAGCTAGAGTTTTTAATAAGCTGTGTGCTTCTTTTCCGATGAATGTGAGGAAATGTGCTACAGTGTTAACATCCTCATAATCTTCCTTGGTCATTGCCCAGATTTCGAACCTTTCAGAGTAATCCTCTGGAGATAAGCATGACAAATGTATTTTGTAAATAGGTTTTGATGTTATTTTATTTATTCTGTAATTTTTCACAGCCTGTACATTTATCGTTAAGTGACCACACATGTTGCTTAAGTGTATGACCTTGAACACACTTCCGTCGTCTTA